GTATTAAAAAAGCTTTGTATATATATGCTTTTTTGATATGAAAAGTTTCCCATGATGCTCAGTGATCACAGCTTTCTAGGTTTTTGGTGACTAACTTTATTGAAATAATTGTATATAAAAAAGAGAGAAGAGAAAAGGAAACCTAGTCCTGAAATTCCAAAAATCTCAAATAACGACTTACTATGAAATTAAAAACTAATCGCAATTCAACAGTTGGATTAATTTAATACTCTTTAGCTCATTCGTGCGCGATCGTACATAGGATGTGATTATATAATTGATATTGATCAAGTGGATATGGTTCAAGGAACGCCTGTCTAATCTAACACGCATGACCTTATAAGGATGTATTTACTAAAGCTATAATATACATGTGGTCAAGCCTGTGTGCTGTTTCGCTTTCCGTGGATTCTAGTTCTTGATGAAGGGAACAGGGGAAAAAATATAAATAAATATGGCAAAGAATCTTAGCAGCTAAAAGGTAAAGAAAATGTTTTTGAAAAATCTGGTAAGTCAATATAGACGGTTGTCTATAAGGATGAATGAGTTATCATGGTTGCATTGTTTATATTAAGTATGTAAATCAGAATATTTTGATATTTTTATTTCAAATTAAGACTGGAGAAGAAATAAGTTCACTTTTTATTTCAAAACTATGGTAAACTTCAGGTTTATAATCATCTATTATATAACTTTAATTTCACTGTATGTTTAGCAATATCCAATTATGCTCTCCGCATCATGGAAAAGCATATTGCGCATCGTCTGAGTCGGAAATAAGCTTGCTGATCAACATAAAATTATATATCAAACATAATTTGTAACTTCTCCTAAATAAGATGTTTTAAAGAGAGGAAAAGTTCGCAACATGATAACAATGTTTAATATTTTGAAACAATTTGGTAAGCGATATTAATTAGTTATATTGATACGACATGAATCCAATACTGATTGATTCTGAAAAATCATTTGTAAACTGAAATCCGTTATTGCTCTAAGCTTCTAACTACCTAGATTACTATAAGAATTCAAGTATTTTAGATATTGTTTTAAAATATGTTAGCTTGGCTGATCCATGTGTGGATCACCATAAAGGAAGACTACTTCTTAAACACAACTTCTAAAGAATTTAAACATCTTGGCTGAATGGACAGCATCTGTTGAAGGTAACATTTTACACAACTAATTTATCAAAGAGGAAATTGTTATTCAATGTCTTATTATTACCGATTTTGGAACTTTATAGTCATTTTTTCACGAGTTCTAAAAAAAAAAAAAAAAAAAAGAAAAGAAAAATTATATGAATTATAGAAAGTAAAATACACTGAACGATAACCAAAGACCAAAAGTGAAATGCACTGAACGATAACATTCCCAGTACAGCTTATGACTTAGTCGCATGCGCAGTTCCACTCATCTGATATCAAGTCACATAGTTCTGATCATTACGTGTTTCCATGTGGGACACAATGTAAAGAGTTGAATCCATTTTATAGTATAAAGGAAAATATATATAAACTAGAGGAAAAAAAAMCAGAAAAAGAATTAACAAATATCGCTGTTGCTAATAGAACAAAAACAAATAAATCAGCCTCAGTTTTGCTTAAGACAACGTTAAAAAAATGTCCAAAGAAATAGACTCGTATGATATTCGAATTACTTATTTAACACTGACTTGGTTTATTAAAAGTTAGGGTTTAGTTGTTCCAAGTAGTTCTATTAGTAATTCGAATTTTGTGGTCAAATCTAAACTCTTAGTTCTAAGTACGTCATGACTTGATTGGGTTCATATTGAAATGATTCCACACACACACACACACACAC